TCCTGTGCGCAGCAGGCCAGGGCCCAGCCCCGAGAGAAGTGCAAGGAAATGGGGGGAGGAGCAGCCTGCACTCTCGGGAGCACATGAGCCCTGGCAGGCTGCCCAGGGCTGCGAAGGAGGACGTGTCACACGAACCCTGCCCAGCTGAAGGCACTCCGCACCTGTGCTTCCCCCAGGGGGCTGGGGGTGTTGAAGGAGGTGAGGGGCCACATGCTGCCCCAGAGAAGCCCAGGGTGCTGTACCTGCATTCCACAGACTCTCACGCCCAGCGTGGCCGAGGTGCTCTGCTCACACTTCTTCATCTGCCGAGCAGCCTTCTCTTCAGAAGCATCATCTCCATGCTGCCTGGTCCCCATCTTCAGGTCAAGCACACAGGGAAATCGGAAATGGTGCACCACGTTCTCCAGCAAAAGGAACTCTGAGAAACTCTGTCAAGGAGACTTCACCTCTCCAGCTGCCAACCACCCAGCCCCTCCCAGAGTCACAGGACAGGGAGTGGGTGCACAGGGACAAAGGGGAACCAGTGTCAAAGCAGTCAGGGGGGAAGGAGACCAGCAGGAAGAAAAGGAAGGGCACAAAGGGGACAGAGAACAGAGAAGACCACACAAGGCCTAACCATGTTCCACACGTGTGGAATGAATTTTGTTATGTGCACCAGTCTGGAGGTGATGCAACACGGCACATTGCCCCTATATCAGTGCACGTGACAATTAATGTGGTACACATGGGGCCAAGGGGCTTGGATTGCAGTGCAGGGGTGAGGTAGGTGGGCTCTGAGTTGGGGTAGGGGGTGAGAGATTTGGGGTGCAGGCTGCAGCAAGGGGAGAGGACTCTTCCTCAGCTCTCAGCCCGCCACAGCAGGTCTGGGCCAGGCACCTCTCCCCACCTGCTCAGGGCTGCCTGGGCTGTGGCGTGGCTAAGGGGAAACGTAGGACAGTCAAACATGAGCCCAGTCTGTGCGACGACCTTGTGAGCCCAATGGCACCTGGCCAGCAGGCGCTGCCAGACACTGCCACAGGGCAGGTGCAGGAGCAGTGGTACAGCTGGCTCTGCTTGGCTGGCTGCTGAAGGGAACGTGTGCTCTGGCCATGATCCAAGGAAGAGGTGCTGGCCATGCCTTGCAGAGGCAGGAGGCCCTGGCGCTGGCACTAGCAGCTGCTCTGGCTCTGCTCGCTGGAGGATACTGTAGAGCTTTCGGTCCTTGGACTCAGACCGCATGCGGCTCAGCTGCTGCTTGTGGCAGCGCAGACTCCAGGGGTTGTAGCTGATCTTCTCAGAGCTCAGGCTACTGTTCCCGTCCAGCATCTGAAAGGGAACATCGGAATGGATGTGCAGATCCGCCTTGGGGCTCTTTGCTTCTTGAATGCTGCTGGCACAAAGAAGAGAAGACACGCATGCTGGGGAGTCCTTGACTAGACAGCTAGCCTCTCTGACTGCCCCCCAATCCCCTCCCCCAGCCCAGCAACACTCGTCTCTGGCCTCAGCAGTTCTTCCAGGGCCTCCCTGCTGTTGGTACGTTGCAGGAGCAGGGCCCGGGGGAGGGAACAGCCTTCTGGAAGGGGAACCTTCCTCTAGACCACCCCAACAAGCAAAGGCAGCTAGTCCCCAGGGGCCTTGTGGCTCCAGCCTGAGCATACTGAGGGGGATGAGGGACCTGGGAGTGCAGGCTGCTTTGGGGCTGCAGAAGGGAGAGGGGGCTCCCCATAATCTCTCTCCACCATGGCTGGTCCAGGCTGGAGGTGGAGGGTGGGGAAACCAGTTCGGGCGGAGGGAGACAGTACACCAGGGACCCCACCAGCACCGCTTGGGCCAGTCCGTGTATGACATGGGGAGTGCAGGACGCCCCAGTGCTGAGCGAGGGACGAGGACGTGGCATGGGTTCCCAGCTCCGCTGTTTTTACCTCTCGGGATTGTCACTGCCCAGGCTGGCTCGCTCCTCCTTGTGCTCTCCGACGCTGCTGGATCTGTGAAGGCTCCTGCGGGAATGCTTGCGCCGAGGTTGGTCCCTCTCTGGCATGTCATCCTGCTCCAAGGCCTCGCTCTCCACATAGGGATATGCCACCAGGTTAATGTAGCCATCACTGTCCCCTTCAAAGCAGACGGACACCACACCTGCCAGAGAGAGGCAGCACGGTCAATGCAAGCGGGGGAGTATGGGGAAACACAGCACCAGAACAAACCCAGGCCTGAAGAATGGCTCTGCAGGAAGGACTCGGAAGACCCTGCAAAGGAAAAGTGCCTCAGACAAACCTCACCACCCAACCACTGGCGTATGACAAGCAGCAATCAACGTGGGGCTCCTGGCAGGGCAGCCTCCGCAGTCAGAGAGGAACCCAGAACACATCACCCCCAGTGTGCAGAAAGACCAAAAGTTTCCTCTTCACCTCCTGTCACAGCACTCCCCAGGCCAATGTCTGCTCAAGAGCCCACACCCCCACCCGCCCTTATCCTGTGTCGGCTGCCTGGTCGCTCCCTCAGCTCCTGCAGGCCAGGTTCCCTCCACCCCGGCACACAGCTGGCCGAGAGGCCGTGCTCCCGCTCCGCTGCGGACCCCTTGCTGGCGCTGCCACGGAGAGGCCTGAAGGAGGCTTGGTGCAGCTTCCCTCAGATGATCACTCCCAAGAGCTATGGATGTGCCTACGTGATGCCTTCAGTTCAGTCCCCTTCCAGAACTGGTAGGAAATTCCCCTAGGACAAGGGTGGGGAACTGTTTGGAAGTCAGTTGGGGGCCACCCACAAGCGAGAAGCAAAAACACCACCTCACTGACATTAGGGATGTGAAAGGGTAACTGATAAGCATCACCCTTACCAGGTGAGGCTTAACCAGAACCAGTAACCTCCCCCACCATGGACAGTGGCCCTCCAGCCCAGCCACAGCTGAGCCAATCCCCTTCAATCAGCTAACTGGTCAAACCTTAGGGTTAACTGGTTAACCAATTAAATGGGATTTTACATCCCTGACATGGCCCCCAACTGAGAAGACACACACGCTTGGACACCACAGTTCCCCTACTGCTCCAGAGACTGGGGGCTGAGGCTCAGGGCTTCCCCACATGGCTGGATTAACTCTTCTGGGGACCTGGACCTAGTAGATTTGATGGGGCCTCCCTAGGCTCCAGGGTGGGGCCAAAAATGAAGGGTTCGGTGTGCAGGAAGGGCTGAGGATGGGGGCGCAGGAGGGGCTGAGGATGGGGGCAAGGTCTGGGCGAGAAGTAGGGTGCAGGAGGGGCTGGAGGTGAGGGGTCTGGATGGGGGCACTTACCTGGTACAGCTCCCATGCAGTGGGGGGAACAGGCGCTGGTAGGCACTGCGCTCCCACTGGTGGTAATTGCTGCCGCCCGCAGTGGGGAGCTGGCACTCACACTCCAGCTCTGCAGGGGTGGGAAGGAGTGGTGGCTTGGAGACTCACTGTGGGCCTGAAGCACCAGCCTGCCCTGCCACAGGAAGGAAGCTCTGAGCCTCCTGCAGGCCACATCAGGGCAAGCCAGGGCCAGATCCTGCCCACGGACCGGAAGTTCCCAACAGCATCCCTCAGAGCACTTGCCAGATCTCAAGCTGACTCAGTAAAGTACATTTGCAAAAAAAGCAAACATGACTCTGGGATGCATTAACAGGTGTGTTGTGAGCAAGACACGAGGAGTCATTCTTCAGCTCTACTCTATGATGGTCAGGCCTCAGTTGGATTATTGTGTCCAGTTCTGGGCACCACATTTCAAGAAGGATGTGGAGAATTGGAGAGGGTCCAGAGAAGAGCAACAAGAATGATGAAAGGTCCAGAGAACATGAGCTATGAGGGAGGCTGAAAGAATTGGGTTTGTTTAGTTTAGAAAAGAGAAGATTGAGAGGGGACATGAGAGCAGTTTTCAGGTATCTAAAGGGGTGTCATGAGGAGGAGGGAGAAAACTTGCTCATCTTGGCCTCTGAGGATAGAACAAGACGCAATGGGCTTAAACTGCAGCAAGGGAGGTTTAGGTTGGACATTAGGAAAAAGTTCCTAACTGTCAGGATAGTCAAACACTGGAATAAATTGCCCAGGGAGGTTGTGGAATCCCCATCTGTGGAGATATTTAAGAGTAAGTTAGATAAATGTCTATCAGGGATGGTCTAGACAGTATTTGGTCCTGCCGTGGGGGCAGGGAACTGGACTTGATGACCTCTCGAGGTCCCTTCCAGTCCTACTATTCTGATTCTATGATTAACGCACTTTTCGGTCTCTCTACATTCAATGATGCCAGCCAGTGACAGCCAGAGCTAACAGCCATGCAACCAGCACGGTGGACCCACAGAAAGGTCCATGGCAGGGAATTACGAATTTCCACCCGGTTTGGCTTTGGCAGTCCAAGTATGGGGTAGATCGTTACAATGGACAGTTTGCCCTTCAGCAGCATGAGGAAGCGAGCGGAGGCAGCACATGCCACACACCCCTCCAGCTCCCAGCCCCCACGCTGGGGCTGAGGCTGCTGCTGGCTCCCAGTCCCTTTGTTCGGCGCTGGGGCTTCCTGCAGACACCAGTCGCCCCAGCTATGAAGCTTCCCACGCCTATTCTGGCTCCCTTAGGGTTCCGTGCCAGTTCTGCGGGATTAGGGCAGAGGAGCCTCCTAAGACTTGTGGGAAGAGGAGACACTGGGCTGTACCTGGTGCACCACGCACAGGGCCACTGCTGGTTCCTGGGCCAGCCTTCCCAGAAATGCAGCTTTACTGTGGGATGTTGTACTCCGGCACCCAAGGCAGCCTCCATGCATAGGCCCTGCCACCATGCCCCAGGTGTGTTGAGGGCAAGGCTGCAGCTCAAGCTGGGGTTGGCATGACCCCCTTGCAAGCTGCTGTGATACAGGTTGTCCCTGTGGGCTGTGGCAGTCACTGGGGGCGTGGGACTCCAGCCCCTCTACCTGGCCAGCTGGGAAGTAAAGCCAGGGTACTCCAGCATGCTGCACGCTGCCTGGGCGACCTTCCCAAGGACATGCCAACGTAATGCTGCTTCAGCCCACTACAGCAAGTGCACTAGGCAGCTCTTCGCACGAAACAGCCTCTGGGCCTGCACACGCCCCTTGTCGCCTCACGTCACAGAGCACGTGTTAGTGCGACACGGAGAACGCTCAGGAAATAGCCAGTGAGGAACTGCCCCACCCTCGCAGGGCTGGAAACCGAGTGGGAACGTCACCCTACAGCTCCAACTCAGGGGGCCTCACTGGGGGCAGCAGTCGCTGCTGGCTGGGAGAAATGGCATCACACCTTATTTCCAGCGCTGGGTCTCACGGCCCAAAGTCTGATACAAAGGGGGAAAGCTGGACACTTGCATTTGTCAACTGGCAGCCTCATTGCCAGGCACACAGTCACCAAGCAGCCAGCCCAGTGTCCAGCATGTTAGCCAAGGGCTCCTCTCAGTGCCATCACTGTGGGAGAAGCAGCACCTGAACTGGGCATGCACCATGTCTGTAAATCTGCCTGCTCCCCTTGGCACTACTCCTGCCTGGGGTCCGAGGGCAGAGAAAGCATCAGCTCCCAGCTTTCGAGCAGGCCAGCCTGGGGTTCGGGACTCCCACGCCCAAGGGACATATGGAGCAGGCGGCTTGTTGGGCAACAGCTGTTGATGGAGCTATGGTAATAAATGGATAACCTAGTGTGTGGGCAGGAAGGGGACAATAGAAGCCAAAACCTGCATTGTCCATGCAGAGCATGCCCATCCCAAAGAGCCTGGGCCAGGGAGAGGACCAGAGTGGGGGTGGGGACAGAAGGGGGGGGTGAAGAAAACAAGAGCAGTTTTTAGTTGACAGGTAGCCTTGAGTGATCTGCACTGATGTGTCAATGGGGCAGCTTTTCTTGGGGTAAACCTCCCTCCCCCACAAGTCTCGCTTCCACCTGGGTCTGGAAGAGGTGACCTGCAATGACCTAGCTCTATGCTCGGAAGGTATTGGTATTCATTCCTCCACACATCCCAATGAAACCATATTTTCCTCCACAGACATTCCCCGCTCAGCAACGTAAGGGGCGGCTGCTTAATAGCTTCGTGTTTGACATAAGGCTATTTCCTTAGGAAGTCTGACATCCAAAGCTGATCGTGCAAGGTAAAATAGTTGTAACTGCTTTAACCTTCTGAACCTCAACATCTACCGTCGCCAAATAAACGTCTGACACTCCCTCCAATTTCAACTGACAAACGTTTTTTAAATGCTTAAAAATAAACATTATCCTCCACTGACGCGACAAACATACACATCTAGCCCTAAAAAGCCTTGCCGCGGGGCATGGCGATTCCTTATGGCCCAATGGCTGCATAATTTACTTCACCTGGGAGATGAAAGACTTTAAACCGGTTTTAGGACTGGGACGCTATTTGAAGGGACGTTAAATTAGATCAGCTAACTAAACAGTCGATGGAAATTCCAGCGACCATTCGATTAGTCGATAAGGGCACTTCTGCTTTGTAATGTAGCAAAAGCACGCCTGGCTGTTGCTACATTCCCAAGGCCTAAGCCCCTGCTGCATTCTGCCTTTGAAATGTACCAGAGCCCCAGCAGGGGCTCTTGTGCATTTCACAGACTGAAATGCCACATGCAGCCAGCACGGACTCTTGTACATTTCGAAGGTGGAATGTCGCTGCTATGCCCCTGTCCCCTCCCACAGAGCTGGAGCTAGGGGAACCAGCTTTTAAGCCGGCTCCCCCCGGGACTCCCTCCTCTACTCTCCCCTTGCTGCCTCTTTCCAATAGAGGCAGCAAAGGGGGGAGGAGGAGGAGAGGGAGTGACTACTTGACTAGTGTACAGACTATATCCGATAGGCAAAAGCTTATCGAAGTCAATTAGTCGCTTACATCCCTAGCTATTTGTGGTCACTTTAAAGGTTATTGGTCTCCTTGTCAGTCTGGTGCAGCTGGAACCCTAGAGATTGCTTGCATATAGAGGGGTAGAAAACTCAATTCTAAGAACGTTTGCTTGCTCTGATACTGAAAAACTATTCAGTGTGACAAACGTAGCACGTATGGGAGTGGCAAAGATGTCACCAGCTTTTTGGGATGACCAGCCAGGCAGTCACCAAGCTTTCACAGGTGCATGCTGGCCAGGGGTGCACAGCGAATCTGTAAATGGGACCTGGCCCCCACCAAGACTGCGTGTTAGGGCACACTTCTGAGGAAAGCCAAGAGGAAGAGGCTCTCACTTAAGGGAATGCACCAAACTGCCTTACTCTGGAGCACACACAGGCCAGTCATTCAAGAGAAGGGAACTCTGCAGCTACAGGAAGGCAGAGCATGAGCAAAGCACATCAAGCACCCACCCACGTGAAGGGATGGCAGCTCAGCGTGCTTTGCTGCCACCAAATGCCCCCATTCCCATGCACACAGGCAGGCCAAGAAACTAGGAATGCAGGTTTTTAGCACCAGCTTCAGAATATTTGTCTTGACAGTTTCCTTGGGCCATTTCCCACAGAGCATCTGTTCCCATAGATGCACCCCATAGGAACTAGAGTCCTGAGAAGAGTGGACACAGATCAAGCCACAAAGCAAAGGGAGCAACTTCACTGTTTTACCTGCACTCAATGCTGTTCGCCATGGGGAACACAGCTGTGCCGAGAGCAGTGCTGAGCACCGGGAGAAGCTTAGGCGGAGCTCCAAGCAAAAAGCAGAACTGAAAGGGCTGTTGTCAGCAGCCAGAAGCTCCATATTCATCTCTCCCCAACCAAAGCTGGAACCCAGCTGCGTAAGAGAGGGACCCATCCCCTCCATTGGATGTGGAGAATGGGAGGCCAAGCCTTTCGAGGGGCAGGGTTCAAAATAGGACTTTGCTAGCTGTTCCATATATGGTGACTATCTCTCAGTCAGGAGCCAATTCAGGACTCTTCTCAGCCTGAAGCCTGGCGCTGAAATCATCTCCCTGCTCATCAGCCACACGCTCAGTCCTATACACACACTCCAGCCCACAAGCTCACATCAAGTCACTGGAGAACAGCAGGAGGGAAGGGGAGGGGAGGGCAAAAGAGCCCGATGAACAGAACCTGCCCAAGCTGCAGGAGCCCCCCGAGCATGGAGCTACGCTGGCAGCAGCATGGTGGCTCACCTTTGTACTCGGGGGTGAACTCCTTCATTTCCGGGGGCAGGGACTCGTAGAAGCGCTGTTCTCGGGAAATGAGGGGCTTGCAAACAGTGTGGTCATCGTAGCGCATCATGCTGCTGTGGCCGCCCACCTGGTGAATGAAAGGCTCCAGCAGGACCCCTCGCTCTCCGGCACGACTGGCATTTTTGCCATACTTGCCCACTTCCATGGTTTGACAAACACACATTGCGTTCGGCACCAGTTGCACGCTCGGGGCATGGGGAGAGCCGCATGGGCTGGGAAGGGGCAACTTCACGAGGGGCAGCCAGCCACGGCTGGGAAGTCCCAGGAACTAGTCTTGCTCCAATCTGAAAAACAACGGAGAGTCCTATGAGAAAAGAGCTGGTCTCACCAGGAACTTTTCCTACATCAAGGCCAGCCAGCAGGTTTTCTACTGAGGAAGAAAAGGGGAGCCTTCCCCCATACCTTTAGTCCTGCCCACATGGACAGGAAAGCACACATTCATGTCCTGCTCTCTACCCCAAGCCCACCTCCCAAATCTGGTAGGTACTTGACTCCTTAGGGCTGGCAGAACTTTTTCACAGGGCTTTGTCAAGTGAGGGCTGGAAGAAATCTAGTATTTTGATTCCACTTAGAAAGTTATTTCCATGTGCTGATGGATCTTGCCATTAATAAAGTGATGTCACAATGCAGCACATGGTATGAGGGAGAGCCTCCCCTTCGCCAACCCTTCCCCCCAAATCTAGCAGGAAGAGCAGCACAGGTACAGAAAAGCCCTACACAGAAACCCAAATCCTAATGTTTCTAGGATCCAACTTTACCTCGGATAAACTGCCACCAATGTTAGTCAGTCTCCAGCGAGGATTGCTGTAACCTGCCCTGTCTGCCCTCCCATGGGCACACACTGCCACCCAAAGCTCAGTCTCTAGCACACTCCTCCTGCCCCGGCCCCCGTCTCTTATCACCCCCCTCCACTCTCTCCGCTGGCTGCCCCAGCTTCACCAGGCAAAACAAAAACAGAACACCCTCACTCACATGCTGACATGACAGCCTTCCAATACTTTCCCCACAACTTCCTCCAAAGGACAAACAAGCTCTCCTGCAACTGACGGAAACAATCCCAGAGCGCCTCGGCACAAAGAATTATGGGAAGGGCCCTACCAAATTCACAGCCACGAAAAATGTGTGTCAGACTGTAAAATCTGCCCTTTGGGTGCTTTTACCCTGTACCACCCAAATTTCACGGGGAGACCAGCGTTTCTCAAATTAGGGGTCCTGACCCAAAAGGGAGTTGGTTGCAGGGCAATCTCACGGTTATTTTGGAGGGGGGGGGGGTCATGGTACTGCCACCCCTTACTTCTGCACTGCCTTCGGAGCTGGACAACTGGAGAGTGATGGCTACAATGTTGGCCATGTACCTAGCTGGAAGGCAGCACCCAGCCAGCAGCAGTGCAGATGTAAGGGTGGCAATGCCATACCCACGATGCCCTTATTTCCGTACTGCTGCTTTCCGAACTGGATGCCAGACAGTGGCAGCTGCTGCTGGAGTGCCCAGATCTGCAGGCAGCAGTAAGGGTGGCAATACCATACCGTGCCATTCGTGCCGCTGGCTCTGCCTTCTCAGCTGAGCTCCCAGTCACCAACCACCGCTCTCCAGCTGCCCAATACAGAAGGTAGAGCCACCACCAACAGCTGTGCAGAATAAGGGTAGCAATACTGCATCCCCCATACAATAACCTTGAAACCCCCACCCAACTTGTTTTGGGGTCAGGGACCCCTACAATTACTCCGCCAGCAAATTTCAGCAAGATTTAAATCTCTGAAATCTTGAAACTTACCATTTTTTAAAATCCTAGGACCATGAACTTGACCAAAATGGACTGTGAATTTGGCAGGGCCCTATGTCTGGGCTCTGGCCCCCAGAGCCACACATGCAAGCACAGACACAGTGATGGCACAGTGACATGGGTAGGTCTTTGCTGTAGGGAAGTTCCAACATGGAAGAGGCTAAGCAGGGTGCTCAGACCCAAGTGCCAATTGCTGTGACATGTAGCCTCTGGGGTGCTTCCTAGAAGTGGGTTAGGGATCTGACCCACACAGGAAATGGGAGTTGAATCCTCCATTTCTATCTGCTGCCTTTCCACGAGGAGGCCACCAGCAGATGGGGCAAGATGGTGCTGATCAGGAAGTCAGCCACACATTACAGCAGACAGAGGCAAGAGTCATTTGGACCCTCTTCCTGCAGTTTCAATGGTGTGTCTAGGATTTTACACTCCCAGCACTCCGGACAAGGTTGTTGACAGGACCGCATGCTGCAGACAGGGCAAGGGCACAAACCAGAACATACACAGGGGGTCAGACCAAAGGTCCATCTAGCCCAGTATCCTGTCTTCTGACAGTGGCCAATGCCAGCTGCCTCAAGGAGAATGATCCAAACAGGGAATCATCAAGTGATCCCACCCCGGTTGCCCATTCCCAGCTTCTGGCAAACAGGGTCTGGCAGCAGCATCTGATTTGACCCAATGACACCCACATGTACGGCTATCGTCATACAGAATTCAACAGTTGTCAGCACCACCACTACGAGGGATGTATGTAGAGTTAACCTGTTACTCAGTAAGCACTCACCCCAGCAAGCATGCCGGCAAGGAAACTGGTTAACCAACAGCCTAGCCAGAGCACCCTCTGCCCACAGGATGCGGGTTAACTTTTTAAACAGGATTTTACATCCCTAACCACTATCCAAATGGTTCCACTGCCACTCCAAGGTAGGACTTCAGCTCTAGCACAGCTCTGATGTGGGTTTCATGTAATCAAGTCACAAGCTGCAAATTTTCTTTGGCAGATTTTATATCAGCCTTTAGCTTTCGTCCCTAAGAACAGGAGAGGAGAGGGAAAGGTGTTCCCAAAGTAGGGCTAGTCAGGACAATGACAGATAGCACCCCGGTCAGGACTTGTCCCATTTGACGTTTGAGCGGCCCTGGGGCTCACATGATGCTGAAGGAGAAAGATTTCAAGTGTGCCGAGTGTAATCGAAGGGCTCAGAGCAAACAAAGCCCCCAACGTATGTGTAAACCCATGAATTTTAAACTAGTCTCTTCATTCTAGGACACCAACTCAATTTCTGGATGCTT